TTTTTAATTCAACACTTGGTTTCTGAAATAGATCAATTTGTTCGACACTATAGTTCCAAAATATATTGATTTGTTCGGCAATGTAGTTCCAAATAAAATAGAATATTTTGGCATTGGTTCTCCGAATTAGTCGAGGGAAAAAAAAAAAAAAAAATTCTGCACGAAAAAACTAACCCTTTCATACTGCTTTGCTGTCACTGGGCATATTTTTACTTGATTTTGAGCTTCTATTGGTTTGTAACTCTTCCATAACAATATCAAAAATAATTATGGAACTAATGAGAAAACAATATAAATAATGGAGTATAAACCTATAGAATAAAAAAATATTAGAATTGTTATGAGAGTATGGCTTCGCAAGCAAATAAAGAAGTATAGAATGCGTAGGAAGCAAAGTGAGAAACAATGCAAGAAGTGACAAATAATGAAGAAATTAGGATTTAGTTTTTTTTTTTTTTTTTTTACTTAAAAGATGTAAATTGAGATTTTTTTTTGTTTTTTGTTTTTAAAAGATGTGTACAGAGCATATTTTGATATAATATTATTGATGTTGGTAGATGTCCATTATGGTTATTTTAGTTTAGGGTATAATTGTTGTTAAAATAATATTTCATTAAGTGTGTGGACTGAGGTAACTAGGTGTATGGAAATAGAATTTCTCCGTTTACATTAAACGTTGCAGGAAAATTTGGTAAATTACAGTTTTACACTCTGTTTGGATGAAAGAGTTTGGTGAGAAAAGAAAAAAGATAATAGGAATTGAAAACCCTTCGTTTGTTTGGATGGTTAAATAAAGTAAAAAATGATGAGAGATTGTGAGAAATAAACTCTCATCAAACCTGTGTTTTGTTTGTCACGAAAAGTAGGAGATTTGGTGAGAAAAGTATTAGGTTTAATGAAACTTATTTAAAATACGAAAACTATTCTTATAAAAAAAAACATAACTTACTAATGTGAAAGGTTATTTTGATAAAATGAAATAAAACAATTTCTTTTCATTTCTCTTACTTACTTTATCCAAACAAGATAAGTGATAAATCACATTTTTTTCTTTTTTATTCATCCAAATATAATGGTGAGAAATTATAATAATTTCTTTTTTTACCTCCCTTCACGATCCAAGCAGAGTGTTAATCTTACATAAATTACATTCAACCTCTCACTGTTAATCTTAGGTAAATTACACTTTTACACTCTTAGATTTTATCCTAAATTTTACTCCGTTTATACTTTGCCATTAATTAAAAGAGACAAAGTGCAAATAAAATTATAAGAAAAAAGTATTATTACTCTAAAATAATTAATAATTAATATTATTATCCTAAAATTTTAATAGATATGTAATACACTTCACACATAATCTGATTTTTTGTAAATTTCTAATAAAATCTTAATAAAAATGATTAACTATAATAAGATAATATTTCAAGAGAGTTAACTGTTGGATTTTGAAATTCAAAAAGACAAAGTATAAATTAGTCATAATGTAATTTATCCTTAAATTTTAGACAAATTACAAATATATTCTTGAAATTTATTTAAAATATGAATTATTCCCTATAATTATAGAAATTACGTCATGCCCTTTTAAGTTTAGAATTGCATAATAAATAATTTTTTTATTAATAAATCATCAAGTCAATTAATAATTTTTAATGATATCAAAAATATACTTCAATCAACAATTTAAATTAGAGATGAAAAAACAACTGCTAAAATCGAACCGACCAACCGCATCAAACGAAATTGCCGATTTGTGGTTTGTTTGTTTCTTTCTCATTTGGTTGGTCGGTATGATTTTTTAGATTTTTCAATTTTCGGTCCAAGTTTTGGTAAATTTTACACCGAACCGTACCAAAATAAACTTCCATCTTAGCTGCCCACGTGTTTTAATCCTAGAGCTCACTCAATATAACAACTTTTGGCCTTTCCACTATGAAAAGATGAAAACACCTTTTTGTCTTCCCTAGGTAAACAAGCAATCTCTCTCATCTCTCTGTACTGATTCATTTTCTCTCTCTCTCTCTCACTCACTCACTCACTAATTCAGTCCATTCTTAGGTTTCTTCATGCTTCCAAATCTGCACCACCATTTGTTGCCAAATCAAAAACCCTTCGCCTCTCTCTAAGACTATTAAAAGCACAACCACTAGCAATATCTTTCTTCATCTCTTCATTTTCCTTCATCACTCAATTCTCTAAATCTGCACTGCCAGTCGACTTGAACCGCACTCGTCTCTCCCTTTGATTCTCAAATCTTTGTCCTTTTGAAGGAACAAAGCTAACGTAAATTTCAAGGACATGGTAAAGCCCTCCATCTTACAGAGACTTGTTTACTCTTATTTTACTCTGTTTTTGGTGTAACGATTTTGACACAGAACTAAGGTAAATTTCATGTCCTAACTTTTGATTTTGAAAACCCTAATTTTGATTTTGAAAGCCCAATTTTTGGAACCCTTTTGAAAACCCCATTTATTTTTCATGGTGTAAACTCTCATATGTATATATATATATATATGTTTGTGAATCACTTGATTGTATTATATATATATATATATGTGTGTGTGTGTAATCATTTCTAGATCATTATATATATTTGTCAAATTCTTTCTAAATCCCAAAATCGTAACAACCGCACCAAACCGCATAGACTGGTTTGGTGCGGTTTATGTATGTACCTCAGTCTGTTCGGTTCACATAATTACAAAACCCAATAACTTGGTTCGGCCCAAAAACTGGAAAGAACCGACCGAATTGCACTGATTTCACCCCTAATTTAAATAATCAACAATCAAGAATTTAAATAATATATCTTTATATAGGAGAGTAGTCCGAAATTTTATTTTTTTAATTAATTTTGTTAAATAAAAATTTTTTACAAAAGAATATAAGTAATTTTTCAAAGACAATCTATATTTTAAGAAAACTTAAGGAGATGTATTTGTAATGAAGGCTGCTAAATACCTCTGCCTTTTTACTTTAAACCCTCTAATTTTTTATTTAATTTTATTATAATTTTGTCCTAATATCAAATTTTAATTTTGTCCCCATCCTTATCCTCCCATGTTTAACCATAACCTTAATCTCACCACCATTTCCACTCCAGCCGACACCCTCTGGCGACCAACTCACTACCACTTCCACTTCCCATCGTTACGACACCCACCACTTATGACCCAACGATCGCAATCTTCATTCTCACCAACAACCTAGACCTGAAACCAAATCGATGAGCAACCTAGATTGACTCTTTTTCGTGATCTTCATCTTATCCTCTGGAACTTACTCTTTTTTATCTCTTTCGTGTACGACTCTCTTTGCTCGTCGATTTCTCTCTTACTTCACAATTTAGTTGATTCCTTTTCGTTCAGTCACACAAAGCCGAACTTGTTGAATATGTTCGGTGCCCCATAACCGAATATATGCCTTTGTTTGGCTACATACTGCTGAACATTTGGCTTTTGTGCAAAACTGATTTTCTGAACAATGACAAGAGTGGTTGCGAAGGAAAAAAGAGTGGTTGGAGTGCCTGCCAAAATGTAAGTGAAGTCCTGTAAGTGCGAGGGTAGAAATTGAAAAGAGGAGTAGGGGTCATCAGCAATGAAGGGACATTGGAGGAGGGTCGCTGAAGTGGGAGGGGGACTGTCGGAGGAGAAAAATAGGAGTTATAGGGGTGGGATTCAAAGAATATATTTGAGATTATGATAGAAATAAAAAATGAAATAAAATAAATAGGAAAGTAATTTTGCTGATGAAGGCTAAAGAAGTGGAGATCTAAAATGGAAAGGTGTGGACACTTAGCCCATTTGTAATTACCCTTAAAAACAAGTTTTTTTATCGTCTTGTTTGTGAAATTGTTTATTTTAGTAGGTTATTTTAATTCTTAATTATTTTAATAGGTTAAAATATTTGTATTTAAGAAGATGATACATTTTATCTTATTAACTATTTTAAATATATTTTATTTTTATTTTTATAAATTTTAGGGAAAAAAAATCCCCTAAAATTGGCTTCGTAAACATTTCAAAATCAATAACTAAGAGCATTCGTATCAAACCCCTAAAATCATTCCCTTACTTATTTTAAGGGGTTGGAGGTCCCTGATACCACCCCATCAGCTCCCTTATAAGCCACCCTAAACTAATATTTGCTATAGTGACTCTTTATTTGTAAGAAGTCACTGTAGCTCCCTCATATCTGACAGTGGTCGTCCACCCGGATGTCCCAGATGAGTGATTTGGGCAAACTTGATTCGTCGGTTGTCCACCCGAACGTCCGTCCGGTCGACCGCCGCTTAGTCACTACTCTACTCTGTCCATTCTCAAACCTTCAATGTTTTTTTTTTTTCTCTCTCTCTCTATATATATGTATATATGACAATTGCAGAAGTGAAAGGAAGAGATCATCTATAGTTTCTCAATGTCTTCTCTCTTTCTTAATGATTTTCTAATAGAGTTTTGAATTATAGTTACAGATCATCTATTAGAATTACTAGATTTTGCTTTTATGTGCTCTATCAATACTTTAAGCTCACATTTATAATTCCCTCTGCCTTATTTGATTGATTATACTATATTGTTTTGTTCCTATCGTTTCCATTTTCATTGATGTAATATAATCTAATCAAAGAATACAAAAACTTGTTTTAATCTGTTCGGATCCAGATGGAAAATAATATTTTAAGAGAAGAATATTTTAATAATATTTTAGAAAAAAAAAGAAAAAAAATTTAAGCTTTGTTTGGAATACTCTAAAAAAGTCAAAAAGTTACTATCCTATTTAAGTCACATCATTTTATTTAAATCATATCACATCTCTATCACGTCACTTCAAACTTGACTCATATTTCATAAAAAAGTAAAAATTATACTTATTTAGATGATCCCAAATCATCTCTAATTAGGTGAAGTAGATGAAAAGTTGAATCCTAGTAAAATAGTAAAATAGAGAAAGAATTTTTTAATAATATTGTAAGGTACAATATAAAGAATCTGATGTGACGCTCTAAGCCAACGAGAACCAGAAACCCTAGAAACACAGAAAGAGAATCTCTCTCTGTCGCGCCACCCCCAACAATGGCGTCGTTGGAGAAGCGATGCCTCTACGAGGTGCTGGGCCTCCCTCGTGACTGCACCTCCGACGAGATCCGCTCCGCCTACAGAAAGCTCGCTCTCCAGCGCCACCCCGACAAGCTCGTCCAGTCCGGCCTCTCCTCCTCCGCCGCCACTGCCTCTTTCCAAGAACTCGTCAACGCCTACGAAGTCCTCTCCGACCCTCGCGAACGCACCTGGTACGATTCTCACCGCTCCCAAATCCTTTTCTCCGATTCCACCAATTCCAATTCCAATTCCAATTCCATCCCTGATCTCTTCTCCTTCTTCTCCAACTCCGTCTTCTCCGGCTACTCCGACTCCCCCAAGGGCTTCTTCAATGTCTACGCCGATGTATTTCATAAAGTCTACTCCAACGAGTTGAATTTCGCCAAGAAGTTAGGGTTAGGTTTGGAGGCCGTCAAAGAGGCTCCCTTGATGGGAAATTTGCAGAGTCCGTACAACCAGGTATCGGCTTTTTATGGTTATTGGTTAGGGTTTGTGACTGTGATGGATTTTTGTTGGGTTGATCAGTATGATGTGATGGCGGGGCCGAATCGGAAGTCGAGGAGGGTTATGGAGGAGGAGAACAAGAAGGTGAGGAAGAAGGCGAGGAGGGAGTATAACGAGACGGTGAGGGGTTTGGCGGAGTTTGTGAAGAAGAGGGATAAGAGGGTTATTGATATGCAGGTGAAGAGGAATGAGGAGATGGAAAGGAAGAGGGAGGAGGAGAGGGAGAAGAAGAAGGAGATTGAGAGACTGAAGATGGAGCGGGCGAGGGCGTATGAGGAGCCCGATTGGGCGAAAGTTGAGGAGATTGAGGATGATAATGATGCAATTGAGGAGGATGAGAAGAACAAGAAGGAGTTGTATTGTGTGGTTTGTGGGAAGAAGTTTAAGAGTGAGAAGCAGTGGAAGAATCACGAGCAATCGAAGAAGCATAAGGAGAAGGTTGTAGAGTTGAGGGAAGCTTTTGGTGATGAAGAGATTGAAAATGAGAGAGAAGAGGGAAAAGAAGAAGGGGAATTGGGTGACAATGGTTTTGTTTCGGCAGATGATGGGGTTGATGAGGTAACCAACCAATTTGGAGATAGTTTTCGATTACAAAAACAGAATAGAGGTGATGATGAAGCTCAATCTATTGAGGAAGAAGGGTTTGTTGATATTGATGATGGTGGTAGTTCAAAAGGTGTGAATGAGTCATTTGGGTCCGATGATGATGATGAAGAAGCAAGTTTTCTTGAAGCAATGGTGTCTGGGCACAAGAATAAGAAAAATGTGAATCCAGCCAAGTCTTCTACAACAAAAACTCATGGCAAAAATGATAGCGATGAAATGGATTTTATGGCATATAATAACCTCAAGAGCACTAGAAGAAAGCGGGGAGCAAGAGGCGAGAGGGGTGGAAGATATGATGAAGAAACTACTACTACGGCTGATGCAACTGAAACCAGTGGTCAATTTGGGGAAAATAATGGGCGCAATGATGGTTCATGTGAGGGTGAGACTTCGTCTCATGCTTTTGTCGAAAATGAGAGTAATGGTAAAGGAGATGATCAATTAGGAAAAAGTAATGGTAAAGGAGATGATCAATTAGTAAAGAGTCATAAGGTTCCAAAACAACCTGTTGACAAAAAGGGTATGCCCAAGAAAGACGCGGCCAAGAAAGAAGTGAATGCCAAATCAAAGAACTCATCCAAAGGGAAGAAACAGAAGGTGCGGATACTCCTGGAGTTGGCTTCTGTTTTCCTGATCTATGTCATTGTTTTCTATTTATATTAGGATTGGTGTGCTGTCATTGGTGTGTTTATTTGTGATTATCTAACGGATTTGAAAAGGGAAAGAGAAAGGAAAAATGTAGGTAAAATGTGAATAAAATATATTTACATTTCACCTAATTTTACATATTTTTTCCCTTGTCTTTTCCAAATCACTCTCCAAATCTCCCAACTAAACATAGGCCAAATCTCTCAGATTAATTGTTTATACATAAAGTTTTGACTTCTGCAAACTTAATGATGTTCGATGTTGAGTGCTTCTAAAATCCAAGTAATTGGGATATGACACTGAAAAGTTGATGAAACAATTTGCTTCACTTCAGAGTGAGAAATTATTATTTAAGGCTCATTTGCAGAGTAATTATTTTAGTTAAAAAGTTAAAAATCATTATAAGTTATCGTGTCACTCTTTCTATTTTTCTGCATATCTTTTTGTAAAAAGTCAAATAATTACTAAAATATTTTATTTTCAAACGAGGCCTAGGTATTCAAAAGACTCTCTACCAAGTCCTGTTGTGCCTTTTGATTAAAGATAATTGCAGTCATTCAAAATACTTTATTGGATTACAAAGCACAGATACAGACAAAATTTTAAAGAAAAATGCTCTGTAGCTCGAGGCCCGAGTAGCCCAAAAAGTGAAATTTTTTCTCTCCTCTCTATCGGTTTCCTCTCCTCTCCTCTCCTCTCTATCGGTCTCCTCCTCTCCTCTCCTCTCTATCTCTATTCTTCAAACACTCCTGGTATCTCTCTTTCTCTTTCTCTTTCTCTTTCCTCTCTATCTTTCTCCTCTCTATCACACCATCCCAACCTCCCTTCTCTCTCTAGCCAGCAGAACTGCCTCTCTCTCCTTCTCCAAAATCATCTCTCTTTTGCAAATTCTGATTCGATTTTACCAGAGAGGAAAAGTGATCTATGGCTGTCTCAACAGATTTGGGTTTGATTCTGAACTGATTTGGGTTTGATTTAGTCTGATTTGGGTTTGAAAAATATATATGCTTTTTTCTCTCTCTCAGGGAAATCAAGTTCTGGGTTTTGTTTTGATCTTCATAATCTGTAAATTAAGAACTGGGTTTTTAGTTTTATGTGAGGAAGTGAGGTCAGTGAGGTTTGTTCACTTGAAATCTTGCTTCACTTGAAATCAAGTTATGGGTTTTGGTTTGATATTTGATTCAATACTCTGGCAATTATAATCTGTTAATAAAGAGTGGTATTACATGCACCAGTTAGTGTACTAATTAGTGTGTGTACTAATACTAGTTATGACATTATTATTGATCACATTCATTATATAAATTACAAATACCAAAAATATCTTAAATTATACTACATCATCAATTGATACATTAGTTAGTGCATTAATTTGTGCATAAATATTAGGCCATTATGATGGCCACTTCAACTCCAAATTTAATGTCTACTATTTCTGTGTGTGTGTGTTTCCTACTCCTCTTGTTTGTGCATAAATATTAGGCCATTATGATGGCCACTTTAACTCCAAATTTGATGTCTACTATTTCTCCGTGTGTGTGTTTCCTATTCCTCTTGCTTCCCTATCTACACTTGAATTATATGTGTGTGTATGTGTATGCTAAATCCCACATATTTTTAGTTTGCTTTCTTTCCTCCTAATATTATGAATCCGGTACTTATGATTTTTTCAGTTTACATAGACTGGTCTAATTGTTGGTTTGAGCTTTTGGTGTTGTCTTTTCCTCTTCGTTTTGATTGGTTTTATTTTTGATTCAAAACTCTTGCAATTGGTTTAGGGTTTGGTTTTGGCTTTGATTTTGATTTTGATTCTGAGTTTGGATTCAAAAAGAACAGAGGAAGAAGAGGAAGGAAAAAAGAAGAGGGGGAAGGAAGAAGAGAGGGGAAGGAAAAAAGAAAAAAAAAATTGATTTTGATTCTGAGTTTGGATTAAGAAAGAACAAAGGAAGAAGAGGATGAAAAAGAGAGGGGGAAGGAAGAAGAGGAAGAAGAGAGGGAAAAGGAAAAAGAAAGAGAAAAAAAAAAAATGGTCGTTTTGGCACCTCGAGCCATTCGGGCCTGGGAATGTTCGAGCTACCCAGCAGCTCTAAATTTTAAAACACAATACATGGGGACACATAAGAATGAACAGTCGCATGCATGAAATTTTTTAGTGTACATTTATGATGTTTGTGTGTTTATTTTTTTGTTAGATTTTAAGTTATTTTATTCAGACTTGTAATGTGTTGTTTAATATGTCTGAGAGCAATAGATATGTTCTCAAATAGAATTTTTGTAGTAGGACATGTTTAGATGTGTGTGGATGAAGTGTCGTGTTAGTGTCTGACACACTGTCCGACATTACACACCACTTTCTTATATTTCTGTTGCTTGTTATATTGTAGTAGTTGAATAATATAGTGAAATTAGTCCTGTTTTAGTTTTTACGTTTTCAGTACAAAACAAAATCTCACAAGTTGGTTGCTTGTACTCCTTGTGTCTAATCATGAATGACATCTTCCTTTTCAACTCAGGCCACATCAAAAGATTCTAGCACTATATGTGACGCATGCGGAGAGGACTTTCAATCGAGGTAGTTCTTGTGCTATCTATTTTAGTTTTATTTTTCTAAAAACATTTCTTAGCTATCTCTACTGTTTGTTGTGTTTTCTCTTGTTTCTTATTTAGTTTTTTATCCTTTGGATGTTTGTCATTTGACAGGAATAAACTACATAAACATTTGGATGACTCGGGTCATGCTACATTAAAATCACGGTGAGAAGGTGATTGCTAATTACAAGCAAAAAGTACGGAAATTTTGGCCCATGAATTACCTTCCTGAACTGGGTGTATGTGATACTTTTTTTCTTTTCTTTTTTTGTTAATACACCAATTCAACATCTGTTATCACAAAGTCCATGTCTAAGTTAAAAGAGTTACGGAAGCTTCTTCTTCTATGTTGGTAAGCTCAAACACATATTATGTAGTTCAAAAGCAGGCTTTTGCTTTTAAAGATTATGTTTTTGAGTTCAAAGTGAGGGGAGGAGAGATTGTGCAATTCTGTTTATGAATTGCGATTTGTTGTATTTTTTATTGAATTTTGAATAATAAATCTTTACTTTTGAATATACAACAGTCATTTGAAAATTTGATTTCTCTCCTTGCACTCTTTCGTTGTGCATTGTGATCTGAAATTCTATTTGGTGTATAAAGTAATTTATTCAGAATGGTAATACTCACTTTTGAGGGGCATTTCCCTAAATAAGTCAAAATATTAATTCAATTTCCAAACTAAGCTTAGTTTTGAAAGAATTTCTAAAATAGGTTAAATCGTGGTTCACAACTGTGTGTGCCTGTCTCATGTGAAAATTGAGAAGTCTTAAAATCGTGGTTACAAAATGCGTTTTTGATTAAAAAATCGCGCTTACAAAAGGTGCTTTTAATTAATTTTTTTTTTCTTTTGAAATCGCTATTCTGAATCACACTTTTAAAGAAAGATTGTTTTTTGAAGAAAACGTGATTTCAAACCACGTTTTCACTGTGTGAAGAAAGCGTGGCACTGTGTGAAGAACCACGCTTTCAACACTGTCCTCACATGCACTCATAAACCCTCTCACTTTGACTCTGACACCAAACACAAACAAACAAACACTCACACACACAGTCACACTCAATATATATATATATATAAATTTTATTTCATAAAATTGAAAATAATATTAAATATATATAATAATTTATAATAATAAATAATAATCAACTATATAAAATGATTACTTTTTATTTTAATTCTTAATTTTATTTTACTGTTTAGGGATAAAATTTATTTTTTTTATTTTAGATTTAAAGTTTAATTCTTAAAATTTATTTTTTTTATTTTAGGGTTTAAGATTTATAAAAAAAAAAAAAAAAAAAAAATTATCCCTAAACTATAAATTCTAAACCCTAAATCCTAAACCTTAAAATAAAAATAAATAAATTTTAAGAATTAAACTTTAAACCCTAAAATAAAAAAAATAAATTTTATCCCTAAATAGTAAAATAAAAAAAAATAAGAATTAAAATAAAAAGTAATAATTTTATATAGTTGATTATTATTTGTTATTATAAATTATTATATATATTTAATATTGATTTCAATTTTATGAAATAAAATTTATATATATATATATACATATATATCTTGAGTGTGACTGTGTGTGTGAGTGTTTGTTTGCGTTTGGTATCAGAGTCAAATTGAGAGGGTTTGTGAGTGCATATGAGGGCAGTGTTGAAAGCGTGGTTTCTAACCACGCTTTCTTCACATAGTGAACGCGTGGTTTGGAATCACGTTTTCTTTAAAAAACAATCTTTCTTTAAAAACGTGGTTCAGAACAGCGATTTCAGAAGAAAAAAAAATTAATTAAAAGCGCCTTTTGTAAGCGCGATTTCTTAATCAAAAGCGTGTTTTGTAATCACGATTTTAAGACTTCCCAATTTTCACACGAGACAGGCACACACATGTTGAAAGCGTGGTTGTGAACCACGATTTAGCCTATTTTGAAATTTTTTTCAAAACTAAGCTTAGTTTAGAAATTAAATTAGTATTTTAGCTTATTTAGGGAAATGCTCCCACTTTTGAAGCACCACATGGCTGAACAGCTTGGTTAAGAATTCAGTGATTGATAAGATACAAATGTTGAAACAGATGCCTGTAGCTTCTGTACTAAGTACAAATACTTCTAAGGTGTTGTGTCTGTGTTGGATGTTGACACTTGTGAGATGCTTTTTGACATGTGCTGGATGCATGTCCAAACTTGTCCTATTATTATTTAAATATTTTCCTACTAGTATTTAAATATTTTCAAGACTAGGACACACTTTAGACATTCAGCCTGCTTGTATCATGTTACATGTTTGTGTAGAAGTTTGCCTCTCTTTGGAGACTTGCCTTTCCAAATTATGCACTTCATTATTGGAAAACAGACATCTCAATTAAAGTCGATTAAGGTAAAAAAAGGAACTTCTTACACTAAACTGTATGAAGATTGAAAAATGAGCTTTGCTGGTGAAAACAAAAGTCTGGTGCAAAGAGGAAATGAGAAATTATATGCATCTTGATTTTTATGATAACCAGTCATCATGCCAATTGAAGGCAAGATAAAGATGACGGATTGAATGCCTCATAATGCTAAATTGAACAAAATTTCTCCTCTCTCTCTCTCTCTCTCTCTCTCTCTCACAGGAGAATCAGGATTCCAATTAATTATTAAGAGAATAATCAAAATTAGCATGATATCTACTAATGCATCAGTAGCAAAAGTTCAAAAGAAATCACAGGGACTGCAAATCATATAATAGAATACCACCAAGTTTTACTAGAACAATATATATATGTATATGCAAATCATTTACACAATACCTACAAGTTTACTAGGACTGTATATAATGGTTGGAACAGCATTACCACTGCTCCCAAAATAAACGGTGTCTATGACCCAACATCAATGTGACTTGGTAAACTTGTAATTCAAGTCATTTACAAAGTCACAATCACAATAATGGTTTTGTAGAAGCTTCGAGAATGTAAGCCATGGCTTCCTCCTCTGAAAGCTGTTTTCCTTCTTCAAGGCCTCTAACCAATATATTGACATATCCTTTGGCAGGGGCAGATAAGGGAAACTTCCCAGACTTGAATTTTTCGACAGCAGAAATGGTGCACCTGAATAAAACACAATTTTCTTATGACCGCCTTGGTCTGAATTCAAAAATGATGTAATGAGTTAGAAACAGATGAATTGAGCAAATGCGCTTACGTCATTGTCAGTATTGGAATGCCATTTTCATTCCCCATGTGTACGACGTTATAGTACCAGCCTCCCTATCAAAACAACATTCAAATAGCGAGAGAAGACAAATTGAGATGCTTGGTTATAGAAAATGAAATCTTTTCCTGTGCTGCACCTTGAATGTGAGCAGTACCAGAGGTATTCCTTGAAAAAATAAAAATGAATGACGTCTTTAAAATAATAAAAAAGACCTCCCAACAACTACATGAATCCATGTAGAGGTCACATATTTACCAAACTTGTACTCATTGGCTCAAGATGGTTCCCTGGTACCCACTATGTGAAAAAGAGAAGGCAGTCGCTACGTCACGGCACAGCCCTTGCTCTCGCACTTGCCCAGTGCTCACCACAACCATGGCCACTGTAACAACCCCCCTTGTCAACTGTTAAACCCATCATTGTCTTCTCACCACAATCACCCTTTTCTCCTCACCAATCAGAAAGAAAAAAAAACAATCACCACATGCCATAGACACTGACACTAGCTCCACTGCCACCTAAGACCTTTGTCGAAGATGCGCAACATAAACTATCATTATTGTTAGACTGTATTGTGGTCCTCTGGTTTCAACCAGCAATATGCGTTCTAAAACTCCCCAAAATCTAGAATCTTTATCATCATCAAATTCGGAAAATGCCAACCAACTTCTCTGTCTCCACCCTCCCTCATCTGCCTCTTCTCACTAATGTGATGGGCTGATTGTGGTTGGTTATGGTTTGACCTTTATTGGATGTGTTTATATTTATATATATATGAAATGTGAGGCATTGTGGGTGTTTGGGAAATTGTTATTTTAGTAGGCTATTTTAATTTTTTGCTATTTTAATATACTAAAATTTTTGTATTTGGGAATATGATTGGATTTTTTTGTAGTTGGATACGATGTTTATGAGAAAAAAAGTGAAATGATTATGGCTTTGATATGACATTGTCTTATTAGCTATTTTAGCCTATTTTGTCCTTTTGTGAATTTTAGTATAAATTAGGCTAAAATTTCACTTCCCAAACAACCCCATTATATGTAGTGGGGGCAAAGGTGCTAATGGGTGGGGTCTGCTGCACGGAGGTGGTTGCTAAGGTGGAAAAGGGATGTCTGGTTAAAATGAAGAGGGATGTTTGGTGGCTTGGCCATTTCTGTTATGGTGAGGAATTAGTTTAGAAACATAGCCAATTAATTTCAATAAGGAATAAGGAAACTCGTTTCTGTATTTTAATTAAAAAGTCAATGACATCATCATATTCCATATTGTCTATTGTTTTATGTGACTGTTAAAAAAAAAAAAGAAAAAAAAAAAAGGTTGGTGTAATTTTTCTGAACAAATGGGGCTAACTGAATTTATCCCAGCCCAATTACCAAGTAAGTCATTGTAATTTACCCAGAAAGAAAAAAAAAAAGAAGGTTCTCAAGAAAACAAGTGTCACAAAAAACGAACTATGCATACTAGACAATAAAATATACCTCCAATGCCTCCACAGGGAAGTACTGATTCTTCATGACAGAATCTAAATCAGTCAAATCAAACAAAGGAGAACTCATATCATAGCCTGGAACATTCTCCTGAAGCAAAACATCATTGAACTGCTCAAGCCTGTTAAGAAACCAAGAGAACTATCAATCAACTTGAGAAAACCTTTGGCGCACAAAATTCAATATTAAAAATGCTACACTGGGAGGTCATTTACGTCATTAAGGAATCTTCTAAAAAGTTGTACCCTTGTGATGGAGTTACAAAAAGCTACACCTCAAAAGCAGTTAAAATGGAAATGAGAAGAGAGGCACAACAATCACATACGTGATTCTGTATATGCACATGTAAGCTTTATCTTGAGAGTTACTTTCAGGATCAAGGAAAGCAACCCCTCCAGGACCCCATGTTTTCGTATGATCACGACCAAAGAATAAACGATGAGGTACAGTCTTCCATATAATCTCTTTTGGTGGCCTTTTATCCAGTGAACCGGAACATGGATTTTTCATGCCTTCCACCTAAAAGTCATTTGACAAACAGAACAAGAATGGAGAAAATGAAAGAACGAATTCAAGCAACCCCTTCAGGACCCCATGCTTTGTGGACTATGGACATGATTTTTTTTTTTAGAAAAAAAAAAAAAAGAGAAAGATAAAGAACAATCCTATAGCATGGCAGATGTGAATCTCATAATAGTTTCTGGAGATCATAACAATGTCAGTTGAAAGAGAAGAACAAAAAAAAAAAAAAAAAAGTAGAGATTTGTGGAAAGAAAAGAGAAGAGAAGAAAAGAAAAAAGAAAAAAGAAAAAAAAAACAGAAAAGATCAAATCTTGCTACAAAGTAGTCTTCCATGAAAATTCTGATGTGACCTAGCCAGAATTACCTCTCCTAAACAGAAAATCAAGTACATTACACATGCAATCCTCTAATTCTGGTGCAGACATTGGTGGAGAGATAGATGGCCATTTTAGCAGACTTTGTATCTCACAGTTTGGGGCATACTATGGTATCTATTGGATCTTAAAATCAATATATATATATATTTAAAAAGGAGAGAAATGGAAAGAAGATTGAAACATACAACACCCACCTTACAGAACATTATATTTCAGAGTTTTTCATTTTAATCAAAGGGCAAGGCTTTTAAGAAATCTAGGTCAAGAACATGAATCTCTCCTCTTTATTATAAGGGGCATTTTTAAAGCAAGGAGGGTTGTGGACTTACCTGTCCACCTTCAATATAGCAGAGGAATCTTGATTTCCACATATTAGATCCATAAGAGGCATACCAAACATCAATCTTTGAAAACTCTGATCTCCAAGAGGAACAACCAGTATTTACTTCATCTGCATTCAGTTTCAAGCTCATTACACAATACTGTCAAAAAAGAGGAAAGACTAGTAGGCTAAACAAACTTCAAATTATCTTTTACCATTACTATGTGCACCAACTCTCATCTCAGAAAGGGGTTGTATAACATCCTGAACAGCCTTTTCAAGATCTTGTGATATAGTACGCGGACTATTATCATTCTCAACATCAAAATCAGGGCTTGAGATCTATAATACAAGGATGACAAATTAGGGCGCCAACATAAGATAGGGTTTGTATTGTAGCACGTATATGTTAAGGAAACTAACTGAAAAATAAAAGACCAATCAACAAGGACAGATGCAAAAAAAAGAATGTATATAACCATATTTGTTTTTTTGATACATTTAGAAATTCATAATTCTAACGTTCCTAAGTAGTGGACAAAAGTAAACTAATTAAACATTGAACACCATCTCCTTTAGCACAAATGAAAGGAAAAAAAGCACAGAAACTATACTCGTCACCATCATTTTGCGCCTCAAAATTCACAAAAATTATCAACCATTTACCGTTAAACCCCTTTTAATAGAAGGCATGGTTGGTTGCCAAGCTGATAAAATTTTTATCTAGTTAATACTTTTTTTTTGAGTTGGGGCCAAGCATGAAACAAAATTTTATTTCTTTTCCATTGGAACAAGCAAAATATTTCCGTTTCCTTGTAAACCAAAACAAAACATTATTGGAATACTGAAATTTCAATGTTTCCACCAAAATATACCCAAAACATAACAAAATACTACGAAAGAAACATACCAAAATATAGAAAATAAAAGAAAATTCTTAAATTTATTAGGGAAACTGAGAAACAAGAAAGGAGGAGAAAATAAATATAGAGGAAATGTATCCAAATATATATATATAGAGAGAGAGAGAGAGGAGAAGATGAAACAAGCTTGAGTACATCACCAATGCTCTTTCTTTGTTACCGCAAAGTACTTTTATAAAGATAATAGATACAGATATATTTTTTCCCCATCACTATTAATACTAGAGATTTACATTTTTTTAGGTTTTTTTTCTTACAATGGAAAACACTTTCTCCAAGGAAGAGAAATCTAATATTTATAGACCTCAACATGTTCAACTATTTAATCATTGAGAATATATTAACATTTCTACAGGTTTTAGTTTTTGTACCAAACATTTTCATATAAATTCTTGTCATTCCCATATGTTTCTATTTCCAAACATATTGAAACAATAAAGTTTCTCAAGGCAAAACAAGAACCAGCAGCTGGTCCCCTTAGCCACACACGACGCCTGTAGAAAGTTAGAAGCATCCATATGTGCATTAGGGCTGTTCACAGGTTGAGTCGGTTTGGATTTGTCATTGGCCCGCTACCTGAACAGACTATGTCAGCCAGAGATTTCTTTCATCTGATTTCGACTGTAGTATTGATCGAAACCACACTCTTCGAAACAAACTTTGACAGTCGGGTCGGTTTTCGTCGGGCAAGCTAGTTGGACAAATCTGGTGACTTTACTCTCTTTTTAAACCCTAATCTATACATATACAGATATATCTAACTATATATATATATGAATAGATATCCAGATTTGAGGAAGAGTGAAGGAAAGAAAAGAGATTTATTTTTGCCGATCAATTTTGTAGCACATATATATCACCATTTATTGGTGACCGACTTCCAACTAAAGCCTTCTTTGTCTTTCTTTGCTTTCAAAATCACCATTACAAGAACTGTGGTTTGTATGAAGCGGAGGGGGTAAGAGGGAGATGAGGGGTTTTGAGAAATTATAAATTTTGAGAAAATAGAACAAGAAAAGATAATAGAGAGTGATATGAGGCGTGAGGACTGAAATACTGAGAGTGAAGTTCAACAAAACTAGATTATAAGATGAGATGAATGAAAGAATAAAAGAAAATAATCAAAGATAATTGCTATCACCATCAAACCCTATGCTTTGGGGATAGGAACTAGGCTTAGGCAGACCTACTTTCTGAAAGTGTAATAATGACTTCTCCTTTGTTCAAAAACTTTATTGGAGAGTCTGCAGATAAGAATTTGGGAAGAGAAAAATATTTTAAGAAAAAATAAGATGTAATCTAGCTAACAAACAAGATTGTGACACCTATAAAATTTATTATATTTAATTAGTTTGGTCGATTAATAGTTAAACCTCTTAGAAAATTGATACTTGACCAACAGACAAATTTTTGGAACTATTGGCCTGCAGCCAACCGTTTCCTTTGTTGAAATCATCCATTACTTGATTTTTAAAGTCGGATTGGTCGGGTACATCAGATGAATCGATTTATTGAACAACCCTAATGTGCATTGTCACATTTGTATGGCATTCAGTCTAGGTTACCATCACAAATAGTCAATTGTTAGTCCTTGATCACATATGAGGGAAAAAACTTTCGGCATGCCCAGTAGGAGTCATAACTGGTAGAGAAGAGGCAAGAAATTTGTACCAAAGCAACCAACTTCATGCACCATGATTCTTCTAGGTTTCTAGAGAGTCAATAGATACTGGCATTACCAAGTTCAAGAAGGCTACGTTCAAATGATAAGTGGGGTTACCAGAGACGAATATGTTAGGCTTCCCAAAATAGCCTTAACTTCGAGCTTAGAAAGAAGTTTGAAGGCACGGAGTTTTGCAACTTGCTTGAGTTGGCCACAAGGGCAACCATTACTTGTAGATACTCAAAGAAGGATAAAACTAAAAGATAGCTTCTAAGAGAACCTATAATAGGGGAACCTAGTTACACTTGAGTGTGGCTGATGTTGACACGGATCACGAACTAGAAGGATAAAAAGTTTACGGAACAATTTAACAAAAGAGAAATGAAGAACAGATGAAAGAGATGAACAAAGCCTGTCCCAGACACAAGAAAAAGACCCATAGGTAACTCTTACTTTGTCCTTGCCTGAACAACGAAAGTAAGAGTAAAAAAGATGTGTCAAACCTATCATATGGTCAGTAACGCCAGAATCAATGATCCCAGAATGCGAAGAAAAAGCGCTCAAGGCATTGGTAGGAATACATATGGAAGAAAAGTTGGAAAAAGGAAGTAGTATCAGAAGCAGGAGAAGAGGATGAATCAAGCTGAGCCATTAGACGTTAGAGAGTGTGTAACTCATCATAAGAAAGTGTGGTAGAATCACCAGAGGTGATGGAAAAAGACTCAAGAGAGATTGGAATGTGAACAAACAAAACCACCACGGCCACCGCCCCTGCCCTCAAGTAGGGTGACCATGTAACATCTAACAATGTTCCCTATCATGGCGGTCATTCCCACAATAATCACAGGTAATCTGACCACGATTACCACTGTTACCTTCGCCAACAAGCTTGGAAGGAGAACAATGGCCATCCTTTAAAGAAAAAGAAAAAGCTAAAGCAAAACGATCTGGGAGAAGCTGATGAACCATAGCACATGCATGCTCTCTTCTTGTTGAAAACAAGAATATGCCTCACGCAGAGTGGGAAAAGGATGTCGGCTGAGAACTTGAACACGAATTTGTTCATACTCGATGTTAAGACTAGCAAGAAAATCACAGACCCTCTATTTTGACACCATTTGCTGAAAGGTTGCATCTCAAGAACAAACAGCCTGGAAGTTAATAGTCAAGCTATTGCCACAAACTACTCAACTCGATATAGTACTCGGCAAGAGACTTATCTTTATGATCAAACCCCGTATTTTTTTTGGTAGCTTATAGGCTTGGGCATCATTACCACATTAGGAATACATTTGAATAGTATCGGTCTAGAACTCATGAGCAGTATCCATCAAAACAAAGGAGCGGCTAATACTAGGATGTATAGAGTTTATTAGAGTTGATTAGGTCGTGACAAGGGCATTCTCCTTATGTCATTTCTCTTGGGTTGGTCCATCCTCCTTGGGAGCCTTGATAACTCCCTTGATGTAACCGAACATGCACAAGTAGTAATGGTCAACAAAAAAGTGTGCTATCCAACTTGACAGAAATAAGCTAAAAAGAGAAATTATCACCAAGAGCGACGGTTGGACTTGAATCTTTCACCTCGCTGCACACAGAGGTCTTGCCTTCATCTGCCATGGCCTAAGACAGTGCGAGCACACCCAAAAAAAGCAACAAATCAAAATAAAATTATTTCCCAACATACACAGCCCAACAACATCAAACTAGGGCCAGAAATAGACTGGCCGGAGTAAGAAAAGCAAAACACACTGTGGAAGAATGCTGACAGCACTGGGAAACCAAAAACCGATCAAAAACCATCTAGAATCATCAACCAAAGCCAAGAGAGGCCTTGAAACACCTCGTTGGTCCCTATAGTGCGTCGCCCAAGTGATGAATTGACCAAAACACTAACAGAATTGAGGATTCAAAAAATCGAACGTATTTTTCCAAAAAGTAAAGAAAAATTGAAAAAATAAACAACCAAAAAGCAAAAAAAATTGAAACTTTTTCTAATAAACCTCTTACCCTAGTTGATCATAGTAGTAGTTTTTTTTTTTTCATTATCAATCAAGAAAAAAAGGACCAACCACCCAGCTAAACAACGAATAGAAGGAAAAAAAATAAAAAGAATAGAAAAGTTCTTTGCTCTAATACTGAGTTAAAACTATATGGTGAAGTGTAAGAGTTGAGAGAGAATATAAGACAAGAAGAAACAAGAGACTTACAAGAAAAGGAGGCACATACCAAATAAGGTTTTTACGTCTCTAATCACATGTATTTATTTATATTAATAAGGGAATAAGTACAAGTACAATATTAACCTCCAACACAACTTAACACTTACCTTGTTCATAGATGGAGAGAAACCTCAGCAATAGGTACTACTTCATTCATGGAAGAGGCTGAGGAGCAACAATATTCTTCCCTTTCCAAGCTTTATCTTGAAATGTTTGAAAGGAGACTTAGACGAGTTTGTGAATGGCGCTTTGCTTCAACTAGTAATTTGTTTTGGAAAAAAACAAAAGGGGCTTGCTAAAAAATTCTGAAGTGAAGCAAGGGGATTTATGTATAACCTTACATTGTTCACAAATGAAAGGGAAACCTTGCAAGTTGACACTCCTTCCAAAGACCTCTTGGAGGAGGATGAGGATGTGGAGGACTCTAGAACAATATTCTTCCCTTTCCTGGCTTTCATCTTGAAACGTCTAAAAGGAGGCTTGGTTGAGTCAGTGGATGGCTTTGTTTCACCTAGTGATTTGTGCTATAAAAAA